CCCCACCCCCACCCCCACCCCGGAGCTCCGGCTTTGACTCACGCTAACCAGGGGCCTGGCAGCCCGAAGAGCTCCTTAGTCACGTGCAGACAGGGGATGCTGAGGATGAGGATGGTGGAAAGTCGAGAAAGGCTACTAGCCGGAAGTGGAAGAAGGGATAGGGAGAGGGGTTAGGTGGAGGGGGTGAGTACGGGAGGGGGAGAATTAATGAACAGATGAGGGGGAAAGGAGGTGAACAGACAGAACTGGACCAACGGGTCCAATGCAAAAACTTTATTTGTATGCATGAGTAGTTTTGCTTTATTTATTGTATGTGTAGGTAGAATAGAATGATTGAGGGGAGGGACAAATGTAATGTTGACCCCTACTGAACCCTCCAGCCTTACAGCAACGTCGTTTTAACCTCAGCTTCCATATACATCCCTCTTTCTCTTACCAGAAGGAAAACTATTTTCTACTCCAGCCGTCCCTCCACTCGTTGTCCCCCAAAACTAGGAAAAATGAAATATTAAACATAAAGGGATCTAATGTAATTGTAAACTTAAAAAAATAATAATATGGAATTTATGCTTTTAATATTGGGTGGCAGGGCGGGTCTGTGGCTCACTTGGGAGAGTGTGGTGATGATAACACCAAGGCCACGGGTTCGGGTCTCTATATAGGGATGGCCGGTTAGCTCACTTGGGACAGCAAGGCCCTGACAACACCAAGTCAAGGGTTAAGATCCCCTTACCGGTCATCTTTAAATAAATAAATAAATAAATAAAATTAGGTGGCCATTAAGAAGAGGAAGAAAATTTCCTTTCCCTTGTGAGCATCTCCCCACCTCCCCAGTAGTTTAAAGAGAAGCGTATTTTCATTCAAAATAAGGTGCCTCCAACTCCTGAAAAGTGAGAACTGGAAGAAACATCTCCGGAAAGAAGGAGGAAGGTATAATAAGAAATTTAAGAAAGAGAAAGAGTTTTAAAAATCCATGACAATAGATTCTATGTACAGACTTTCTGCGTCTCTCCGATTAAGGGTTGTCATTCTAGAGACTTCTGCAGTACAAGTCTGGGTGAACTTGAAGGTAAGGCCCAGGCCAAAACGCTTCGCATAATTGGATTGGAAGGTGGGTGAAACCAGATGAGAGAGAACTTTAGCACAATACTTGGGCCCGTTAGCAATCAATAAATATATTTTTCGAGGGGGAAGGGGGCGAATTTGTGTTTTTTTTGTTTGGTTGGTTTTTTTGTTTGTTTTTTTTGGGGGGGGGGGGGGGGGATTTTTTTTTTTTTTTTTTTGTTTGGTTGGTTTTTTTGTTTGTTTTTTTTTTTGTTTTTTTTTTTTTTTTTTTTGGGGGGGGGGGTGGCAGTTGGCTGGTGCAGGGATCCAAACCCATGACCTTAGAGTTATAAGGTTTCACTGTAATCAACAGAGTAACCGGCCAGCCAATAAATATTTTACTTTTCTTTCTTTTTTTTAAAAGATGACCGGTAAGGGGATCCTAACCCTTGACTTGGTGTTGTCAGCACCACGCTCAGCCAGTGAGCGAACCGGCCATCCCTATGTGGGATCCGAACCCGGGGCCTTGGTGTCATCAGCACCGCACTCTCCCGAGTGAGCCACGGGCCGGCCCGCCAATAAATATTTTTAAAGTGAATGATTAAATGAAAAAAGATAGGAAAGTGAGAAAAGAATCAAGAGTGGAAAAATCCAGAAAATTATTGTATGTTGCATGGATGAGTTTTTCGTCTAAAAAGGATTCAATTTTTAAATTTTGTATTGTTACTAGTCATCACATCAACTTCAAACTAGTATGAGAAGTTCGCATTTAGTTACTGTCTCTTACTCAAATAATGTGTTATTGCCACTTTATTTTCTAAGAATGGATCTAGAGTTATGTTAAAAGCAAATATCTGACTTGTTCTTAACTATGTACGGAAAAAAAAATTACTCCAAAATGGGAGATAAAGAATAAATAAATTTCAAAAAATGGGAGATAAGTCCCTGTTTCTTGACATTTAAAGAGGATAATTATAAAAATGATAAATGCTTGATAGTACTAAGTCCTGGAGAAGGTATTCAGAACAGGTGCTGTAGTGGCAGTGAAAACTGGTGACTTTCTGGAAAGCAATTTGGCAGCCTATATGATAATTTTAAATCCACACCATTCATTGTCCAGGTATTACTTAAGTACATACTCATCTGAGCTCTTGACACTCACTGGAAAACAAGAGAGACTGGGCTCCTGCACACCTGGAATTCCCATTCTGGAGGGGAAGACAAGATACTTTCTCATAAGGTAAAAAGCTAGGGTTAAATTTTAAACCTGGAAGACCTCCCTGAGAGGGTGACTTTGAGTTGAGACTCCACTGACAAAGAGCCAGCCACCTCTGACAGAGTGTTACAAAGAAGAAAGAGCAAGTACAAAGGCCCTGGGGTAAAGAATGAGTTGGTAGGACTGAGGACAGAGGGCTGGTATGGCTTCAGGACATGACTAAAGAGGATTTGAAAAATAATGAAATTGGAGAGGTATCCATAGGCCAGGTCTTTGCCCCAGGTGAACCAAGATAAGATGTTGGGATTTTATTCCGACTGCAGTGGGGTGGGAGAAGATTAAAGGTGTTAAACTGAGGAATAGCTTGACAATTCCCAGTAATTTCACTAATAGGAATTTATCCTATGGATATACTCACAAAAACATGCTGGATATATATATATATATATATAT